AAAAGAAGCAGGGGAGAGGCCAGTGAAGTTGGGGAAGAGGCATAGAAGGAAATCCAGGAAGTACAGGAGGTAGAAGCGGGAATGGATATGGTCAAAATACGTTGCATACATGTGAAATTCTCCAAGAAGAAATTTTACATTTTTAAAAAGGCATCAATGGTCCACCATAAGTTCTAGCCCAAATATTCGCAAAGCATTATGATAATTTCTTAAAAACAAATTCACAGTGGTATCATTTCCTATCCTCCAGGTAGGGCTACAGAGTATCCGGCTGACACGTGACAGGCTAGTGCCCTGAGCCACCCCAGTCCTCGGCTCATGTTCTCCACTGCTTTTCAAACATAGCTGTGACTCTACAGACCTTCTTATTTGCTCAGGCTAAATGACAGTGGCCACTATTGTCTGTCTTTTTCATCTCCTGGATATCAAGGATCCTTGTTTCCACTACAAATTGTGTCTTGTGGACAAATATTAATGGCATTTTCAAGATGTGTTGTTATGAACATTTGCTATGAATATCTTAGTATATTCCTAGCTTTGTTTTCTTTTAGAGGATTTCTTTGGAATTCCCAGGAGAAGCTCCACCAGTATTTAGAAATCTCTGTATACTACAAATGCCCTCCAAATGGACCACCATAGTTATAGAGTACCATGTCATCTACAATGTCTGAAACGCCTTAACTACGTGCCACATATGCACATACTCTCTGACTTCTCTTGTCAATGTTGCAACTGCAGCGTGATACAGCACCAAGACTTCCTTCTGTATTCCTCACTATCAGCAACTGCTTGAATACTTTCTCTTGTGGGTGCTCAGCAAGAAGAGGCGAGCGAATCTGATAATGAGGATCTCTGGAGCCAGCCAGAGCAAACCAGACCAAGCAGGAATGTTGGAAAGCACGCCTCCCGAAAGCCCTTCCGGTCTCTAAACTGCAGGGTCTTCTTTCAAAACGTTTCTTTCACTGATTCATAAAAACATAAAATTGCACATTATCAATGAGATATGAGGTCACAATGCATGTCGTGTAGCATTAGCTTCCTTTACTAAAAAAAAAATAAATTCAAATGATTTAGTTTGGAAAATGATCATATGTCAAACCTTGGGAGTTTTTAAGAATAAGTGAACTAAACCAGGTGTGGTTGGCACACACATACATACAACCCCAGCCCTCTTAGGATCATTGCAAATTCAATGCATGGCTGGTCTATAAGACCCTGGCTGTAACACAATCACCCTCCCCATTCTCCACCTCCAAGAAGCAAAAGGGAGTAAGTGGGGCTGGAAAGAAGCCTTGCTAAACAAATGCAAAGCACTGGCTGTTCTTCCAGTGAACCCAAATTCAGATCAATTCCTAGCACCCACATGGTGATTCATTTGTAATTCTTAGGGGATCCAGTGCCTTCTTCTGGTACATGCTGCATAGACATGTATGCAGGCAAAACACAGATACACATAAAAAATTTTTTAACGTGCCTATAACATTCTTATACTCTTTTCAACACACCTTGAACTCTATTGCTGTTTACATTTCCCTTATATCTAATCTTTTTGTTTCTTTAGTTTTGAGACTAGGTCTAGATATGTAAAGCAGGCCAGGCTCAAACTCCCAACAAGCAGAGGCAAGAAGAGGCATGGTGGGGAGTGCTATGGTTTTCTAAGAGACAAGCCACGCCCACTCTCATCATCTTGAATCTCACCATCCCTCTTGGCATGTGCATTCCCTCTCTCCCGGTCCCTTTCTCTGTCTCTCTCCTCTTCTTCTCTTTCTTTACCCCCCCCAAGTAATAAATATCCAATTCTATTCTGTACGATGTGCCTGTCCATGTGTCTCACACCCGCTCACCTGCCCAGCCGCTCGCCGCTGGGAAACTGCATCTTCTGGGGACTCCCTAGGAACCAGGACCAGCCCAGCGCTGCATGGCTGGACTCCACCCGGAATGGCAGCTCTCCTGGTCAGGGACCCGCTGCTCAGGACCAGGCACTGGGACACACACACATGCAGCATTTTCAACAGGGAGGGTCTTCTATCACTCTTGGTCTTACTGTCTGGGACAAGGTCTCTTGGTGACACAGAAACTCATTGAGTGTGTCAAGAACAAGTGTTCTTAACCATTGAGTGAACTCTCCAGATTTGTGTTTTTTGCTGTTGTTTGTTTGCTTTGGGGGGAGTTGTTTATCTATTCACCTATCTATCTGTCTGCCTATCTATCTACCTACTTACCTATTTATTTCTGAGTCAGGGTTTTTCTGTGTAGCCCTGGAACTCACTCTGTAGACTAGGCTGTCCTCAAAATGACAGACACTTGCCTGCCTCTGCCTCTGAAATGCTGGGATTAAAGGACTGAGTCACCACTATCTGTAATGGTTTGTCCTGTCCCTTTAAGAGACAAGCCCTGCCCACTCTCCCACCAGCATAGCTGATCTTCAGTTTCTAGCCTGAGTCTTTTCCCTTTCTGTCTCTCCCAAAGAGGCAGCTTCTGCCTCTCTCCCTTCTCCCCACTTCTCCCCTTCCCCCACCTCTGTTTTTCTCTCTTTGCTCTTCTCCCTTGTCCCCTTCTCCCCTTCCTTTCCTTAACCCACTAAATAAATATCCAACCTCACTCTGCATGGTGTGCCTATCCACGTCACTCACCCGCCACGTGGCTTTCTGCCCGGGACTTGCTGCTCCTCGTGGCCAGCTGCCCACTGCTGCCACTCGGGAGAACGGTGCAGTTTTATTTTTACCATAACACGATCCAGCAATGGTTTTTACTTTTGTTTTAATCCTACATTTTTGGCCATAGTTTGTATTTTCAGGGAGCTTAGAAGTTTGTTGTTATATTTGTTATATTCTATGTAATTTACTTCAAATATATTTCATCATGAGGTCCCGGGTTTGATACCCAGTGCTGCATAAAAGTACACATACACACATGCACACACTCACGTGCACACATACACACACACATGTGCACACACACTCACATTCACACATGCACAGACTGTAAGACAAACAAGTGTAGGCTTTCATCTAGAACCTGTGGTATGTGGGGGACAAGAACCTCATATGGTTTTCAGGAAAGGCCACACATAGCTACAAGAAGGCTTCTTGAGCCACACCAAAGGGTCTATTAATAAGAGAAAAGAGTCAGCACCTCGCCCCCATTGGTGAATTGTCTTACTTAGCATAATAAATTGAAGTCTAGGTTCCAACTCTGTTGAAAGCTCAGTCTTACTCACCATCAGACCTTTACTCCCAGCAACACAAGAAGCAAACAAACCCAGCAAGCCCAAGGCAATGCCTAAGGCGCATTCCTATGTCCAGTGGCCGATTCCAAAAAATTCCTGACCACCTGACTCCAGTTGAATCCTGCAGCTGACCATTCACAGAAGGCTTGGTTACAGCGCACGACGACACAGCACTGGCCTGAGACTTGCTTCTCAGTGTTCAGCTTCACCTTTTCTCACACAGCTGCCCAGGGAGCCAGAGCCCTCAACAACAGCACGTGACCATTCTATCGTCTGATAGAATAAGAAGCCACATCGCCAGATGTTTAAGTCATTATAGCACCACCGCATGTTTAAGTGGGAAATTTTATTTTACTTTTGGGCAGCACTAGGAATCAAACCCAGGGTCTTCCACACACTAGGCAAGCATTACATTGAACTATACCCCCCCCAACACCCTGTAAATACACTCTATTTAACAAATAATTGTAGCTATGAGTACAATGAGATACATGTGATATATAAATGCAACATATATATGTACATACACATATTCTATATTCATATTCCAGGAGAAGCCAGACACTGGGTTCATCTTCCCAATCTGAGTATTGGACGTGTGAATGTTCACATGTGTGGGCAGGTGCACATACATGTACTTGCATGTGCACATGGAGACCAGAGGCCAACATCAGACGTCTTCCAGTCATTCCCCAGCTCATCTTCTGAGGCAGAGTATCTCACTGAACCTCAAGTACACAGATTCCGTCCAGCAAGCTCCTAGGGCTCACTAATTCCTCCCCACCTCCGTCTCCACTGCTGAGATTACAAGCTTGAGGCAGCAAACTGGTGAAATACTTTGATCAGTAAAGTTCTTGCTCAGGAAGCATGAAGACCCAATTTCCACCCCCAGACTCCATGTTAAGAAAAAGAACAAGAGGAGGAGGGGGATGCTAAACACAGTGGCACACATTTGTAATCTCGGCCCTGAAAAGAAAGAGACAGGCGGGACTCCAGGACTCCCCGGACAGCTAGCTGAATAAAATCTAACCTAGCCTTATCTTGGCCAATAAACAAACGTTGTCTCAAAAATTTAAGGGTACTGCTTCTGAGGACTGACACTCAAGGTTCTCCTTTGGCAACCTCGGCAAAATTGGTAAGACTAAGACCTGCCCATGGTCAGGTGTGGCTGACAGTCGTCACCCAAGCACAAGGTGAATGGCAGGAAGCAGACCTCTATGTGGGGCACAGACTCAGCTCCGACGGCCACCACAGCTCTCGGTCAGAGATCTCTACTCAGGGGGAGTCAGAATTCTTGACTTGGCACCAGAAAAGAAGTCAGTGAGAGGCAGCGCTGGAGTTTGCTAAAGGGGATTTTGATTAAGAACTTATGCACAGGAGTTAATCCAAAGCGGAGCACTTGGGGGAAGAGTCCAGTATATGCAGACTGGGTGTCGGCTTCTGAGGGGAGGGTGGTGCTTTCTCGTCTTTGCAGCAGCTATATACAAGATGTTGGTGGCTTCTGAAGCAGCCAAGAGGTTGCTGAGAAATTTAAGTGAGGCTATAGAATGGTTCCTAAGCATTGGATATGACAAAAGACAGAGTAAAACCCTAGGTCAGCAGGATCACGTGGGAGGCTAAGATGTTTACACTGTAAACAAAAGCCTATCAGTAACCTGGAAGTTTCCCTAGGGTGAGGCTAAACCCAAGGTCCAGAAAGGAGTGAGGCCACTCTCCAGTTCACCCATGTTTCTTATATGACCCCCCCTTACCCATATTCCCAATGACTCACCAAGACAAACCTAGGCGGAGCGCTTCAGTCCACCACCATTGCCCCACCAGTGCTGAATAGACTTTCTGTTCACATCTTCCCAAGAAAAAGGAACTCAATAGTTTTCATGAAGCTCAGTCATGAACCTTGGCACTAGAAATACTCCAACAGGCTGGACTGGAGCACTAGACAGTGTGCTTGTCTTTCACAGGAGTCCAATCTCTAGCACAGCAAAATTAAACATATTAAAAAAAAAAAAAACACCTCACCAGTTCAGAAACAAATAACCTCAGCTAATGGTCTTGTTCCTTCCTTTCCAGAAAAGTGAAGTAAAAGTCCTGAATCCCAAATATGAAGTGTCTTCGTGCATCCTCTCCCTCCTTATCACAGGCTAACCCTGCCCCACAGTCCTATCATCTCTGGAATTTGGGCCCACCCTCTATTTCCCTACTTTATTAGCCTCTCATCTATCTGCTGGCTCCATAAACAAATGTAAACAAATGCAGGGCAGCGTCTCCCAGCTCCATTCCGACCAAACAACAAAAAGCAACCAGAAACCACAGACCCCAGGTTTCCTCCTACCCCGTCTGTGTACCCTGTGTACCCCGGTTCCTTATGAAGGACAGCCTTCACCGCCTCACTTCTCAAACAATGGTCAGGAGCTACAGGGACGGGGACAGGCCCTTCCTCTCTTCACTCTAGCCTTTCCTTCCAGGCTTTACTGCTCAGCGACTGTTTCCATGCCAGGGTCGCAGGCATTTCCATCCCAGATCCTTCTAGTCCCCATCTCCTCAGTTCCATTTGGTTGTCTCTCTCACAAGCAAAGCCTCTCCCAAAGGGAATTAGCCCCCCTCCCCTACCTGGTGCCAACCTCATTGTGCCCCCCACCCCAGTGCTCTCCAACACCATAAATGCTTTCCCCATCCCTATCCCACTCAGTCATTCATGCCAGAAACTTCTGGGCCATCCTGGTATCTCCCTGTCAACAGGATTAGTTAACCACCACTATCCTGATTTGAACTACAAACTAAATCTCAGCTATCAAATTTAATTCACCACACCACCCCTGGGAGACTGTAGGGGCATGGGGTGGCACTGTTTGCAAAGACCCACTCTCCCTTCCTGGGTGGCTGCACATGACTGCACAGGCTGTACCCCATGACTGGCTGAGGAACCAAAGTCTTCGGTGCTGCTCTCCATGGGGATAAAAAGCAGTCTTCTACTGGTGCCCTAGAAGGTACCCTGAGTACCAGCAGAGCCAACACCCCAGACCATTCTTTGCACAGTAGCAGTACAATTATTTGAAATCTAAAGACACCCTCAAAAGGGTATGTGAACTATGGAACACAATTTACATTGAAGGAAACTTCCAGGCCTCCCCCAAAGCAAAATTTGGCTGTCTCATTCTTTAGCCAGACCAAAGGGTGCATAAATGCAGAGACAAAATGCAGAGACATTCACTCCCCACGGTGGCAGCTGTAGCCCCAGGGCCAGCAGTGCCTGGCTCAGTAAACAGCTGTTTGAAGGCCCGAGGGAGCAAGTAGCACAGGTCCCCAGGACCCCAAGGAATGAGGGCTACTGCTTGACAATAGAAAAGCTCATCATCGGAGGGTTTCTTGGGAATTTCTTTTCTTTTTCTTTTTTTTTTTTTTTTTTTTTTTTGAGACAGGGTTTCTCTATGTATCCCTGACTGTCCTGGAACTCACTTTGTAGACGGAGGGGCCTTGAACTCTGCTGAAAGGAAAGGCGTGTGCCATCACTGCCCGGATAAGATTTCTTTATTGGAAGTAAAAGTTATGGATCAATGATGGAGAAACTCCACGTGGGGTTGGGGACAAAGTCTGGGCGGAGGAATGCCGGCTTAGGTGGAGCAGCGCCCTGGGTTTGATCCCACTCGGCACAAAGGGGAAAAAAAAAAGGAAAGAAAAAGAGAACTCCAGTATTTGGTGGTGGCAGCATTTCACCTGGGTGGGGTCACTATCTTCTTCTTTGCTATGGACAGAGCTCTAATGGAGCCAGGTTCCCAGGAGCACAGCCTGTGCATCCAATCCCATGGGGGCTCTGGCATGTTGGCTTCATACTCTGGTCCTACCAACCTAAAACTCTTACGTTTTAAACCAACAAGCGAACAAAATCTCACAACTTATGTAGCTGGTCCCAGGTTTTATAAATTACTTTGATTTCTGAAGGGCCCAACTACAATGAACTCATGGCTAAAAATGCACTTTTCAGAGCCAGGTGTGCTTTCGCCTCTCTGAGCTTAGGATATAGGGCCTGATAAAGGGTCACATGCTCTTCTCTTCCTCCATCAGTTATCACATGTGTTTCATGGCGCGCTTTTTCATTAGCTTTTGGGTTCTTAGACTGCAGAAGTGCACAGAGTGCTGTTAGCTAAAGACTGGAATCTCTTCTGCCACATGGGGCCTCAGGATTGAACTCGGGTAGTTAGGCTAGGCAGCAGGCATCTCTACCTACTGGGCCATCTCCCTGGCTTTATTCGCACTGAGTCTCAGCACTAGGATTTTTGCTTAGGTCTTGCTGTGGGTATTGTTTGCTTGTTAAGAGAGGGGCTCTATGTAGACCAGGGTAGCCTTGAATCGTTAATCCTTCTAGTTCAGCTCTTGAGTACTAGGGTTAAAGGCATGCATGGAAAATTGGGACTGACACTACAGACAGTCAAATTTTCCTAATCAATATGCAAGGTCAGTTCATGCTTCATTAACTTAAAAAAGCTGATAGAAACATCGAGTATACTAAAAGAAAAAAATCAAAATTAGTTTAATATTCCTTTTTTTAAAGATTTATTTATTTCCTTTTTTATTTTTCTTTTCTTTTCTTTCTTTCTTTTTCTTTCTTTCCTTCTTTTTTTTTTTTTTTTTTTGGTTTTTTGAGACAGGGTTTCTCTGTTAGCTTTGGAGCCTGTCCTGGAACTCACTCTTCTAGACCAGGCTGGCCTTGAACTCACAGAGATTCACCTACCTCTGCCTTGCAAGTGCTGGGATTAAAGGTGTGTGCCGTCTCCGCCCAGCCAAGATTTATTTTCTAATGTGTACATGCTTGTGCATGCAGATAACCAAGGAAACCTAAAGAGGGTGTCAGACCCCTGGAGCTGGCATTACAGTCAATCGTGCGTGGTCCAACATGGGTCCCGGAAAGTAAATTCTGGTTCTCTGTAAGAGTAGCAAGTGCTCTTAACCACTGAGTCACCAACTCGATAGCCCCTAGCATCCTTCTCTAGTTTTATGTTTCTAATTCCGAGTTTTACAGTGGTATTAATACCTGAAATTTCTGTGGCAATAAAATTTGTCAAGGCACACAAGTCATTCACATGGAATGATAACTCTGGTCTTTGTAATAAAAACGTCTTAAAATTCAAGGCATTTTAATTTACTGATAGCTTCTTTTGATGGGAAGTACTTAAAAAATAGTTCATTGACAAATAGAACATTTCATATACAGGCCTACTTTCATTCTCAGCTGGGGGACTTGGCTCCCTCTCTCCCTGGGAAATCCTTGGCAGTGTCTGAAGCCCTCTGAGATTATTGTCACTGGAGCATGGGAGGGGCTTCCGTGGGTGTAATCAAAGTCCTATAAGGTACATAAGGATCCCCTTCTGAGGGCCTTGGTTTTCACTGGGCGGGGTGAATGGCCCTCTCAGGATTGCAGGGGTGGGGTGGGAGGGTGTGTGTAGGGAGAAGGAGGGGAGTGGGGGGGAGGGGAGGGAGTGGGAATTTGAATTGGTATTTTTTAAGTAATAAAAAAAAATAAATAAATAATAAAAAAATAAAAACAAGGATCCCCTACCACAGAAGCCATCTGGCCAAGGGCTAGGCTCAGATGGCAAGAGTACTTGCCTGCCAGAAATAAAGCTGGGTTTGGTCCCCAGCACTGCATACTGCACTCCACTGCGTGGTGGAGCTTGCCCAATTCTAGCTCCTGGGCAGGATTAGAAGTTCAAGGTCATTTTCTGCTTCGTAGTCAGCGGTGGCTTGCACAGAACCTAGCAGAAAATGAAATCTCTCCAGCCAAAAATGTCAACGGGGCTATAAACACATAGGACATTTGTTTCTGAAGGAAACCAGACCGCATCAAGCGGCACCTCTGGTGTCAAAGCTAGAACATACAGTCTCCACAAGAACATACACCTGATTGGCAGCAGTTGTCACTGGGAGCATCCTTCCCAGCAGAGTTGGGTATCTGACATCCTGACCTATAACTGTGAGTACATTCCTCATTAATAAATGAATAATTTTATTAATATTCATATTATTAACATGAATATTAAAAACAGTGGCAGAGACCCTTAGCTGTTCCCACAAACCACATTACTCAGCACTGCTCAAATCCACACTTCACAGCCAACAGCACTGAACCAGCACTCAGGAGGTCGATCCAGACTTTGTGGCCAGCCTGGGCTATACACATAAGACCCTTAACAAACAAACAAACAACAGAAAACAGCATCTGGCCTTCAGAAAAGATAGTTTCCAACAGTACTGTTTCCACCACCTAATTTCCTACTTGGTCGTTTCTAAGAAAGCAAGGTTTTCCCAAAATACCATCTATAAAGCCTGAAAAAGAAAGGAATGGGGGGAGGTGGGAGGGAGGGAGAGAGAAGCAGAAATATCTGTAGTTTCCCACCCATCTAGAACTGAAACCTGCTCTCCCAGTCCTCCTGCGTGGGGGGAGGGGGGTGTCTATCTGTGGCCACCTAAGCTACTAACAGGTAATTTACGCTGATCTTTAAAAACCATTTACTCCTCCTCTTCCCTTCTAGAAGACAAACCTGCCTTTACGACAGCTCTAAATGGGGGCAGCAGGCCAGAGGAAGAAACCATATTGCTCCCCAACTACTCACCAAATTCAGGTCACAGCCCCACCCACCTGCCTTCTCAAGTCAATGCACCAGTGCTCAGTTGGAACACTTTATCTCCTCCTAATTTGCCTCTAGTTCCATTAGTAACAAAACAACTCTCTTCTGGGGTGAAAAGGCAGGGTAAAGAATGCTCATCAATCTGACACAGCTTTTGCAGAGCCAAGCTCTGATCTACAGGCGACTACTTTACGGTGGAACTTAGGAAAAAACTTAACGGCCACGTGGCGGGGTGCGCGGGGAGAGGGCACTTTTTATTCAGCATTGAAAGAACTGAGACTGGGGGGACGCATGAGGTGAGCATCTTAAGCGCTGGTCTTTAACCTTGGTAGGCAGAGGCAGGCAAATCTCTTTGAGTTCGAAACCATCAAAAAAAGAAGGAAGGAAGGAAGGAAGGAAGGAAGGAAGGAAGGAAGGAAGGAAGGAAGGAAGGAAGGAAGGAAGGAGAAAACGAACACATAATAAACCCCAAAAAATTAAAAACAAAGAAACTACGGAACTAACGTGTCTAAGAATTACCAATTTTCATAACAGACCCGCAGTCTGAAGAACAACGCGAAAAGAAGAGCAGCGACTGCTAGAACCCTAGACGAGCCGGCAGGCATTCTCTGCCTCATCGCCGGCTTCTCGGTCGGGGCTCTAACTGAGGTCTAACAGCCTCTTCGCTGGGCTGAGGTTTTAAGTTTAAGTTCCTGGCGCCTAAGACACCGCTGTTGTAACTAACTATTTGCTTCTTACCTTCCACGCCTGCAGCCAACCCCGATTTCTAAGCCCCTACTCATTACACGGGTCCGGGAAAAAGGTCAGAAAGTGACTTCCAGACGCCACAGTGTACCGGCTTCCCACGAACGGACCGAAAGGAGGGTGAGAAGAGGACGCCTGCTCCATCCCAGCCCGGGGCACCCGGACCAAGCGCCCTCTCTCCCGGTATCAGCTCCACTCCCTCCCCCGGCAGAGCCGTCCCGCCCGGATAGCTCCCGCTTGGTCCAGATCTGCCCGGTTACAGGGCCACTGGCCGGGCTTAGGTTACCTGGAGCCTGTGCCTGCTGGGCCAACGAAGCTCCGCTGATTCGGCTCGCAAAGCGGATCCTGGCGCGCTCAGCCCGCGATGCTCCGAACCTCGAGGCCGGCGCCACGCCCTCGGACCCGCCCTCGAGAGCACGCCCTCGAGCCCACCCTTGAGACCACGCCCCTGGTCCCGCGTCTCCCACCTGCGGTCCCGGCTCGAGGTGAGGGCGCCCTCTGGGTGCTGCAGTGGTTCCGGAAGATGGCTAGGATCCAAACTTCCTCTGGTTTCCTAGAATTTCTTGGTTCACTGGGCCAAGTAGGACCAGGTACCTGAATGGGATCTTTTAAGTACTTTTATGTCTGCTTCCTCTGCCGCAGGAAATGTGCCGACTGGTGTCATGTCTGATTTTAAAAATAAAAAAAAAGAGTTCAAATTTGCCAACGAGTTGGTTTATGGTGCATAAAGTTCAGAGATGCTCATAACTTATCATTTTCTAGATAAACCTTGAAACATATTTTGCATCAGAAACATAGACGGACATGTCTGCGTTATCATAACGTCAGAATTTATTGAATAACCAACAAATTCACCAACAAGGGCAGTTCTTTTCGGATGCAACGTGCCAAGTAATGGTGATTTTCCTTGAAAGCTGCACCTTCACTAGTAGTACTAACTCTCAATTCACACACTATACTTTACACAACAAAATACAAATACGCAGGTTACAGAAACTGAGAGTTTGCAAGCAGGTGGGCCATAGGTGGGCCCTTGTATTGGGTGAGCATGTCTGGTATCCTTCAAGGGTAGGTAGTCACTATCCATGGGAGTGTGGAGAGCAAGGTTGGGTTGGCTTGGAAGCACCAATCTGTGCAGGTCACCCTCTTGGGCTGTAGATCTGAAGAGTTTATACATATATCCTGAGGAGTGCCTTCTACAATGTCACACAAGTTGAATGGGAACCAGCAATGGCTACTGAGTGAGACAATAATACACCAGTTCATGTCAACTGCAGCCCGGTGTGTGCTTTCTGCTAAGCCTTTCCTTTTCTATGCTGGGGGCTAGTGCTTGGAGGCCCCTGCTCTGGGGCCTGCTCTCTGGACCAGCCCTTCCCCGAAGCCTTACCAGGGTAAAGCAACGTCAGCCCTGGCCACCTGCAAAAACAATGACCTAGGTGTTAATGACACCATCTTTAATCTTCTTGGGGAAGGTCAATCTTGCCCCTTTCCCTAAGAGATTTCCCCTCCAATGACAGTCTTACAATCTCTTGCTTTAATTTTATGCATAAGAGGTAATGTCATCATGCATCATTTAAAAGTTTAATTCTATTATTATTTTATTCATATGGATGTTTTGCCTGCCGGTATGTGTATGCACTACATGCATGCAGTGTCCTCTGAGGCTAGAAGAGGGCATTGATGCTCTCAAATTGAAGCTACAGCTGGTAGTGAGTGGCCATGAGGGTTGTGGGAATTGAACTGAGATCCTCTGGAAGGGCAGCCACCTTTCCAGCTCCTGTTACAATGCATTATGTGCCCAGGTCTAGAACAGAAAGAAGACATGAAAAGCAACTGCAATTTCTTTTCTCCATCTATCCCTAATCTACTTGTCCCTTTTCTAGGGGACAAAAGGACAAGGTAATATTTTCTTCTTTTTCTTTTAAAATATTTATTTGTATTTTATGTGCGTTAATGTTTGACCTGCATGTATGTCTGTATGGGAGTGTCAGATCCCCTCGAACTGGAGTTAGAGACAGTTGTGTGAGCGGTCATGTGGATGCTGGGACAGCAGGATGCCCTCTGGAACAGCAGCCAGTGCTCTTAACCGCTGAGTCATCTCTCCAGCCCAATGTTTTAAAATTCCTTTGGTAAAGTTATTGTAACAGTAAAAGCACCATGAAGTCTTATAATGCATTATAGAATGTCACAATGTGCTGCTTGAAACTAAGTCTGTCATTTGTTTTCATGAGAATAAGCTGTTCTCCATCCTCACTGAACTGACTTGCTCTTCCTAGGTTTACCTCAAGTAGTTTCTTTTTTCTGTTTTGTTTCACTGTTTGTCTGTTTGGTTTTGGTTTGGGCACTATAGTGAAGGCACATGTGAAGGAAATCAATACTCTGGAAACTGAGCTACACCACCAGCCCCTGACCATCTAACTTTAATGTGTATTGCCAGCTTTTATATTAAGCTTTGTGTGAGGCTGCAGGTACTTGCTGCTCTTGTAGAGGATTCAGAGTTGGTTTCCAGCACTGACATGAAAGTTCATAATCACCAGAAACTCCAGTTTCAGGGGTGCTAGTACCCTCTTCTGGCCTCCATGGGCACCAGACAAACAGGGCGCACACAGATACATGCAGGTAAATACTCATACACATAAAATTTAAGAAATAAATTATTAAAAATAAAAAAAGGAAGAGTAAGTTTTGTTTTCCTGTTGGATGTAGTACAACATGCATGCAATCATTTGCCTTTAAATGTGGGTGTAACACATGTACACCAGACTATGCTAGTGTTTCTGGATTGGAGTATTGGGGTATTGGGACGTATGAATCAGTACCTGGTCAGAAAACAGAAATCAACGCTGTTTGTTTTTCCAGACTTCAAGGAATTGCTGGAAGAGCTAGAGAGTTGGACAGGGACAACGGAAACACTGCTGAGGCAAAGGGACTTAACTCCAGGAAGCAGCTGCCACTCAGCTCAGTACGGGGATTCAGACCCCTGAGGAGGGTGTGATCTCACACTGGGGCCTTCTTTCTGAAGGTCAGCCTTGGGGCTGGATCCAGAGGGGGATTAAATCCTACAGATCAGGACAAGCCCCTGGAGCCAGGAAGACATACAACCTGCTAGCACCGTGAGGAAGAACAAGCAAATAGGGTGGTTTGCTTCTTTCTTGCTCCTGCAGCCTTCCATCTGGGAAAACCTTCTAGAAAACACGGTTTACTGAGTCTAGCCCAGTGCAGAAGGGTGAGCTTCCAAGCTATTTTAATAAGCATCAGAAACCAACTCACTATCACAAACTCCAGCTGCCCTAATATTGTTGTGAAGGGTGTCTAATAGACACAACTGTTGTACTACATGCAGCATCAGTGATATATTTGTAAATGACTGAAACAATACTTTAAATGTATATATTAATTTTATGTGTGTGAGTGTTTTGCCTGTAATCTGTGTACCATGCGAGTACTCAGTGCCCACAAAGGCCCGAAGAAGTCATCAAATCCCCCTGGGACTGGAGTGACAAACAGTTGTGAGCGCCTGTGTGGGTGCTGGGAATCAAACAGAGGTCCCCTGGTGTTGTATAGTAAAACTTTTCCTGGCAAGTCTACTCACCCCATAAAGGGAGCCCATTACAGACCAAAGTACAGATACCACCAAAGTCCAACTTGGGGAGCCAGTGAGTTTTATTGGGGTTACTTACAGGAATAGGGGTGAGGAGTTATTTACAGTAGCAGAAATGACTCAAAGACAGAGGCACCACCAAAGGCCACCCCAGCATGGTGACAGTCCACAGAAGCTGGGAAGCTGGAGGACACTATGGAGCCTGCTGGCAGTTCAACAGGCTGGAGAGTGTCCTTTTCAGATGCCTCAGTTGGTCTAAACCTCTTCCAGGCAGCTGGTCCGTTCTCAAGAATCTTTGTAGCTCAGCTTCTTTGTTTGAGAGGAACCCTCAACTTTTATAGCTTACTCTGGCAGGGAGGGGCTTTGTGAAACTAGTCAGTTTCAGAGACTTCCTAAAGCAGTTTTGAGTCGTGTTGTTGGGTCTGGGATCACACAAGGATGGGGAAAGACCACCAAAGTCTATTAAACCAGAAGCAAACTTTATTTCAGAAAAAGGGGGAAAAAAATCACCATGGGGCTCCCAAAGCTTATCAGCCACAGCTGTGACCACAGCCAGAGATCGGGCTTCTGTAGCTATGGCAACGGGGGCTGGCTTTGGCCTCCTCTTATGGTAAAATCAGGCACCAGGTGTGGTTGGAAGAACTTTTACAACCTTGAGGTCAGGCTTAAAGTCATATTACATTTTAAGTTTTACAACTTTCGGTTATAGGACGTTAGAATGTTAACTTAGGATTCTTGTGAAAGCCTGTGGCTGACACAGCCACTTTTCACTGTCTAGAGTCACAATTAAAATTTAAGGGAATATAAGCAGGGGGTCCCGTAGAGGCAATAGTTAGCAGCTAACCTTTGTCCCCAGTACCTGCCTAGCTAGAAAGCTGGGAGGCAGGAGACAATTGTTAAAAGTTTACTTCTGCAGGCAGTGGCTGCCAGGATGTCTGCTCTTAAGGCAGAAAGTGTTTGTTAAGGGTTAACGGTGACTGACAGCTTTCTTTCTTTCTTTTTCTCCCAAAATGTATTTGGGCTTACAACTTTATATTTTTCTATTCCTGGACCAGACACGTTACCTCTATATCCTTCTCCTGGACTCTTCAGTGCACCTTCCTGCTTAGGAGCTTCCCTGCAGGGTGAACAGTTTCACTCTCAGCGAAAACAAAATAGTGCACAGCAGCTAGACGAGAGGACGTTGCCCTTAACTGCTGAGCCATCCCTCCGCCCCAATAAGTACTTTGTAAATATCACGAGAGAACTGTAGTATGTGCAATACACTAAATTAGAGGGTGTCCTTGTGAGCTTCGTCAGAGACACGGGAGGACACTTTTGCCCCTTTCCTCCTTGTCACAGTTTATTAAAAGGACATGAACTCAACAAACTAAGTCAGTTTCACTGGCTTTAATTCTCTTCCCATTTATTCCTGATTTTCCTCGGTGTCCCCAGCCATCAGCGAGCACAATTTGTTTTATTTCAAACTTAGTTACTGACTTTGCTAATGCTGTGTGTGTGGAGATGCAGCTCCTCCTTGTACCCCCTTCATTTCTAACTTCTGACCCAGAAGAAGAATGCACAGCAGGAAAAAAGGCAGGGCGTGCAAGTAACCAAGGTTCACTTCTGCAAGAGAGAAAGCAAGCGCTTCCTCCAAGGGCTGCCCGACATGGGGACTTGTGACCCCTGGTCACCTGTATCTCCTCCCCTAGATGACCCTTGGGGCAGCCTGCCATGTGATTTCCTTCCTGGAGAAAGCAAAAGCTTTCTGAGAAGCTGCCCTTACCCATAATTCAGTCCATTGTAATTATATGCATCAAATGTGACACTGTGTTTAAATGTGCAACTTCCCATAAAGTTGAGAAACACAAGCAAAAAGAGTAGCAGTGCCTTGCAGACTTCTTGGGGCTCGGGGGCTGGGGGTGGGGTGTTCCTTGATGGTTTGAGCCT